ATGGTGGCCTACGTGCCGCTGATCCTGCCCGCCACCTGGCTGCTGGACGCCCGTGGCCTGCGCCTCACCGCCCTGCTGGGCGCCGGCCTCCACGGCCTGGGCGCCTGGCTCAAGTGTGCCAGCCTGGCCCCCGACCGGTACCCCCTCACCCTGGCGGCCCAGGCCGTCTGCGCCGTCGCCCAGGTCTTCATCCTGGGGCTGCCCTCACGCATCGCCTCCGTCTGGTTCGGCCCCACCGAGGTCTCCACCGCCTGCGCCGTGGCCGTGCTGGGCAACCAGGTAGGGGCGACGGGCGGAGGGGGGCAAGGGAGGCTTTGGAGAAGTGAGCTTCCTTAGAGTTTGGCGTGGCATCGATTTAAAAATAAGTCGTTTAAGTGGGAAAAACCATTCTCCAGGAAATGGTTACGGGGCAGCATTGTAGAGAGGAAAAGTGGGGGAGCGGGGGCAAGCGCGGAGGTGATGTTACACCCCACCCTCCCTGGCCTTGCTTTGCAGGACCCTGGCTGTATGGCAGCGTGTAGCAGCTTGCACACTTCTGTCAGCTGCCTGAAGTACATCAGTCAAGACCCTTTGCAGAAGTTGCCATGCTCCGCTTTCTCTTCCTCTTGCGTTTGGCATCATTCATCTGACTGAATCCACACCCAGCTGGAGGGGGGGGTGAAGTACCTGAACTTTCATGGAGAGCCCCAGTGCCAACATATATTAGTTCCTGCTATCTAAAATACGGCCTCGAATTGCTAAGTGCCAGTAGTCAATGCCCTGCTGTCTCATGAAGTTTTCTGTAATGCTGTGATAGTTTGCGTCACTGTGGGGAGCGATAACTGAGTCTCAGATTTCCTTGAGCTCCCTGGTCCTGGCTGGTTTCAGAGAGCCGGAACAGGCGTATCTGAAAGCACGGGTGAAGATATGATGCTGATGGGTTTTTCTTTTTCTTCCCATAGCCTTGTTCTCGCCCCTTGCCACTGTCCCTGCTTTTCTGTGGCAACAAAATGTTAAGATTCCCATCAGCATCACTGGTGCAGGCTGAGGTCATAGGTACAGTTTGATTAAGGTAATGGGGGATTTTTTTTTCCTCGTGCAAGTCTAATGATTTTATGTTTGTGCACTTTGGATTATTACAGCGATAATATTAGTGTTACATATTTACAGTTAGGGTTGCTCATTAGCTCATACCTGGCTGTTTCCAGTTTTCCCAATGCTTTTCCAAAACAATTTTTTTTTGCATTGAAGTCTTCCAGTGGACAAGTCAACTGTCCCTTTTGGACTGAAGACTTTGGGGGTTGTTGGTCGGTTGTTTTAGCAGTTTAGCAAAAATTTTGCATCTGCGTCCCAGAATCAGGTTAAAGGTTTCTCTGGCAGCTAAATTTCCACTCTTCCTGACATGCACCAGTCCTCCCAGTAGCAAGGAGTTACTGGGGTTTCAGTTCTACAGTACAGTGCCAAGGATCCAGCTGGGAGTCTGAAACCGATGCTTTGCTCGGATGCTGAGATGTGGGGGCTGAAGTGGTGCGGGAGAGGAGCAGGAGCGCAGGGATGGGCGGATAGGAACCACGAGAAAGATGGACAAGGAAAACGGGAGCAGAGGTGTGAACAAAATAAACCTTAGTTATTCTGGGTTCTGGCGTATTCCCTCCAGAAGCTAGGGCTGATCTTAGTGTGGTGACGTGTTTGATGGCCCTCTGCCAGGGAAACACCTGTGAAACGCACTGACAGTGTGTTTCGGCTCCCTCTGGCAGTCCTGCGCAAAGGGTAATGGCTTATTCTGCAGCTATGTCGTACCCTGCTAACTCAGAGCTGTGTGCTACACAAGTCTTAAGATCCCAGTCCTGCTTGTGACCCATGAAGACTGATACGGTGTCAAACAATAGAATTTCTCTGTCCTCAGTTTTTGCTTTCTTAAAAGTAACCTCTCAAAAGCTAGATTGAAGGAGTAGTGAAATGACAAATTAGGCACTCGAAGTTAGAAGTAATGTTGTCTGTATATCCCAATGTAGTTCACTTCTGCATACGCATTACGATACAGTCTCACTGTACCTGTTTAATTCCACGAGGTGAACTATGTAACAGAATCGGGTTGCTATAACCAACTGGGCTCTTGGTCATCTGATTTCTTATCAGATACTTTACATCGCTTCAGAGCTACAGCAAACAGTGCTGGGACCGCAGGCAGGGGAGGGACAGAGTAGTTATCAAAAATCAGATCGCACCCGTTATCTCTTGAAATGTGTTTTAACTGCAAATGATCAGCAAATCACTGGGAATGCGGCGATGTACCTGTCAAGGGTTGTTAGGAGTGCCAGATTTCCACAAATATTTAGCATCTTAAACTGGGCACACCGGACTCATTGGAACTCTGGATCCTTCTGGCCTTAACCTCTCTAGGTGTAAAAGGTGAAAAATGGTATCACTTGACTTTCTTGGAATATTGTGGGTACTGTACTGTCTCACATTGGGGGAGGAAAAAACATACCTTAAGAAAAAGAGTAATTGTGTACTCAGTTCATGTTTGTAGGGTTAATATACTGGAGGGTGAGGATAAAAAGAGACGAATTCTTCAGGTGAGCACTGGATACTGTGTAAATCTGATGGTCTGTGGGGGGAAAAAAAGGCGGCAGCAAAACCCTCATCGGGCATATGCACAAAGGGCACTTTGTAAGCACATTGACACACCTTTAGTTTGAGTACTTTCTGAGTGTTGGACTTGCTCCTCTAACAGTCTTTGGTGCTCTTTTTTTATTTTTTTACCTGAAATTGATGCAGCGTTTTTTAGTTTAAAAAAAAAAAAGTTTTAACACTTTAAAATGCAGTTTAGTTTTGGAGAAGCAGCAGAGGGAAATTGGAGAGTAGTCCAAGACTGTTGTTCCTTCATGTTTTAAAATGCTTTATGTATATATACCCAAAATTTCAGTCCTTATTTTTTTTCTTTTTAATACAAAATCAGTTGCTACGTTGGAATTGACTCCAGATACAAACCCACTACTATTTTATTTTGTGACTTTTTTTTTTTCTCTATTTCCTTAGCAATAATTGCAGATGTAGGTTTTGGGTTTGTGTTCTTAATAAGGATGCTCCTTTTCTCTTGCTCTTTTCTGCTCTATCGGTTCTGCAATAAACCTTGCATGTCAGTCTTTGTTACTGTAGTGGCAGGATGGTGGAGCGTTTTGATCGAGAAAAAGAGAAGAGCGTTTCTACAAGAGTAGCTGGAGTCTTCTGTCATCTCTAGGCTTTCAGTTGCAGGATGACTGATACAAATTTATGTGCATGCACAGTATTTTCCTGTGAAAGATTCTTCTGCAGAAAAACTTCCTTAATGCTTAGTTGTTAAATGTGCTATATACTAGGTGTAGTATTGTAGTTTAATTTAGAAATGAAAAGGTTAAAACCTGAGTTGTGGAAGACCTGATTGTGAAATGTCATTGAGAGCAAATGGCTCAGAAATATGGTACTAAAAGAACACTTTTCCTTCATAGTTTTATTAACACTTATTATAATACAAATTCTGAATTCTACCTGGTAAGGCTTTTCACTTCTGTTATTTTTTATGTTCACAGGGAAATGATTTTTGGTTTTCTTTTCTTGCCTTACAGCTTGGCACTGCAATTGGCTTTTTGTTGCCACCTGTTTTGGTTCCAAATACACCTAACGATATCGAGCTAATGGCACATAACATCAGCATCATGTTCTATGGAACAGCTATAGTGTCCACGCTTTTGTTCTTCTTAACAGGAGTTGGTAAGTGTTCCCTTCTTGTAATTTAAATGGTGACCATAGTGTTTACAACATCTCGCTTAAAGCATCTGACTTTGCTCAAAGTAGCTGAGGTCACATTTTCTCCAGTTGGCTTGTGTTCATTTACCTGTTGTGCCAGGGTTAAGCGACAACCAGTTTACTGTATGTTGTGCTTCACACGGGGTGACCTTTCAGAATATTTAGTTCAGTTAGGCTTTTTGCTACAAGGACATTATGATACAATGTGAATTCTCTCTGTTAATCTTACAATTCAGATACAAAGGTCTAGACACATTGCAGATGAAGTCTGTCTTTGACCATATGTTGGTAGCAATCAGATGTGAGCAAATAATTAGCACATCCTTTGTGGCTGTGACTTGATTCTTCCATGAGAAAATCTAGAATGTTTTTTTTCATGGAAGTGTTAAAAACCACAAGTTAATCTCCTGAAATTCATCAAACTGAAACACTTCAAAAAGAAAAAACATTAGTCTGGTAAAGACAAATCAAAATTGTTCCTTCTTCTTTTTCCCCAGTGTTTGAAGAAAAGCCCAAATACCCTCCTAGTCACTCTCAAGCAGTCCTGCAAACTGTGCCTCCCGAGGATTACTCCTACAAGCAGTCGATTATTAACTTGTTCAAAAATATTCCATTTGTACTTCTGCTGATCAGTTACGGTAGGTGGTGCTGTCTGGCTCTAGCCTGGCAGAACAGTTCAAATGTGTGCCGAAAGCACGTTGAGTTTTAGTGGTGGTGGTGGTTTTTTATGGGGGAGGGAGTGTCAAACTTTCACTTACTCAGCAGCCAGTGCTGGAAAACTCAGCAGGATTCAAAATACCATTTGTAGGTCTGGTGAAGAGATTTTACCTGGCAGATAGAAGGTTTTGCCTCTGATGTGAGTCTTAAATATCAGAAGGTTAACTCTTTAGGGTAGCAGATCTGTGTGGCTACACCTGGAATGACTGAAGCTTTTCTTTTGGTACTGCACTGCAGGTATTATGACTGGGGCATTTTATTCTGTCTCCACGTTATTAAACCAGATGATAGTAACTCATTATGAGGTAAGTTTCTTGGATCTTCTTTGTATTTTTTTTTTTACTGTACATTTGCAGAGGTGATGTTTATTATTATGTAGGTGCTATGTGTGCTCAGACGTTTGGTTTCCTTTATGCCCTCCCTACAGTTTCTTGCACCATACAGCTATGGGAGTCATAGGAATGTTTGTTTGCGCTTATGACTGCCAAGAGGTCTGAACTTGACTCTGAGTGGAAGCAAGTTATTAATGAGCACCATATAAATATTTGTTGAAAGGGAGAAGAAGTGAACGCTGGGAGAATTGGCTTGACACTGGTGGTGGCAGGAATGGTGGGTTCGATTATTTGTGGTTTGTGGCTGGATTACACTAAAACATACAAGTAAGTGTGGGTAGGCATGTATGGGGTTAGGGGTAGGAGAGCGGTGCAATTGCATTAGAAAAATACTGCAACGTAAGGGCTGAAGTGAACTGATGATAAAATGCAGTTCATCTCTGATCTTTTAGCGGCCTTGATGGAGACTAGTTTCTGAGGCTACAGCAAAAGCTTGAGACTCTTACTCGTTCTTGGCCAAAAGAAATGAGAGAGGAGAACGCAAAGATGCGAAGAGGTTTTCCATCTACTCTTGTCTCTTCAGGAGTGTAAGGCTAACAAGGAAAGTACTGTATGTCCTACATACAGTGGCCAGGTGGCCCAGTGCGCTCCTTCTCCTAGGAACACATAAAGGCTCAAAACCTACTCGGCATTGTTTTGTAAAATGGACAGTTGATGGATTTTTTTTTTTCTTAAATGCTACTCCTGGTCCTATTAGTAAGCATAACATTTGCTTTAATTCAGGGGATGACCATGGAGCAGAACTCTGTTCTGGGGTAGGAGCTCCTGGGTCCATCACCCATGGTGTGGTGCCCCTCAGGCGTGGGCAGTGTCCTGGAGCGCTGCTTGCGGTGGAGTAGTTCTCCCCTGTGACTCTTAGTACATTATGTGCAAGAGCTCTAGAAACCTAATGGATGTTAATGCTGTAGATTTGTTTTGTTTCTGCATGTGTTTTGGCTTATTTATAAGTGACATGTGCTTTAATATTTTGGATGACATCCCTTATTCCAGATTTAAAATAAATAGAACATTGTAATGAGATTTGTTTGACTTGCCTCTTAGGCTGACTTTTATCGCTAACAGTGTTCAATTTGGCTGCTCATGTATTGATGTATTGTATAATGGGCAGCGCTGCAGAATGGCCGAGAGGTACAACATAGCAGAGAACTAAAATAGTCTTAAGGTAATAGTATCTGCTGTGATTGTCCTCTCTTTGAGAGTCTGAGTAAGTCTCTTTAGCCTTGAGTGAAGCAGCCATATAACCAATGCAGTAAAGAGTTCAGGGAGGGATACGTTCTCATTGCATGATATGTTTGAGTCAGAATTACATGAAGCAAATTTTATAGCTGTAGAATGTCAGTTATTAGAGAGTAAGTAATGTTTATGTTACTCTTCCATGCTTCAGCAATGTGCTATGACCTTCTGTTAACAATGTTAATTTATTTATTTATTTATTTATTTTTGGTTGGGTTGCAGGCAAACTACTTTGATTGTTTACATTCTCTCTTTCATTGGATTGCTGGTATTTACTTTCACCCTGGACCTCGGATACCTTATAGTAGTGTTCGTGACTGGAGGAGTACTTGGGTGAGCAATTAAAGAGGACTAGAAGACTTACTGCAGTTCTGTTCAGAAACAATACTTAACTGTTTTAACTAAATGCTTCTACTGTATATTCTATCGCCATGCTCTCAGCCTATGCCTGTAGCTCACAGTACAGATACGGTTTACTAGGGTTTCACCTTCTGTTACATCAGAATAAATCTAAAGTAACTCACTTTTCAGTGAATTTCATTTAACACTTTTATGGACCTAACAGAAGTCTGTATGTGGCCAATTTGTTTGGTTCCGACTCAAAAAGCTGTCTGCGGTAAAGTTGAATCTTTTTGTTGACCACTGGGTAAGTGATTAGAGTTTAACTGAGCAAATCTAGGAAGACTGGCTTCTGTGCATTTTTATTAATCTGTATCTTGATAGCCCAAGCAACGTGCTGGGTGCTTTGTTCGCTCAGAAGAGCATGAGCATTTCTCATAGATACATAATCTAAAAACCCCAAAAGGCGCTGAGGGAATAGTGCTGTATCCAGACATGGCAGTCAAGGTAGAGCCAGAAGTGTCTTGCGAGTTTCAGTTTGAAAACCAATCAACCAACCTCAACTGCATGAAGCCCCTGCTCGTCCTGTCACCTGTCGGTCCCCTCAGCTTCTTCCACAGCAGCTTCTAGCAGACAGTCCAGTGTCCAGCCTCACTCCCTACTGATGGTCTCCTTTTGTCCTCCAGCATGGATGTTTGGGCTGATCAAATGATGATGTTTGTGTATGTCTTTCATTTGAAAGTAGTTGGCTTCAATTACGGAGTGGCTTGTGGACTAGTCAGAGAAGGTTGTTTCATATGTATGGAGTGGAGTGCTGGTGGTTATGGGAAACGGGACAAATATGTTAAAACGTCTTTGTCCTAAAAAGAGAGATGTATGGCTAAAACTGTTGGATGAGATCGGGGGAATGAAGCAGGCAAAGCAAGTATTGAATCATGTTAGTTCTTGAAAACAGACAGTTTGGAATACCAGCTAATTCGTAATACCATGTGTTTATGTTTGATTTTCTTAGCTGTAGTAATAGATGAAGTCCAGACCTGTCATCCTCTTACTCTCCTCTTCAACAGGTTCTTCATGACTGGCTATCTCCCACTTGGGTTTGAATTTGCTGTGGAAATTACATACCCAGAGTCTGAAGGCACTTCCTCAGGTCTCCTTAATGCATCAGCACAGGTTATATAATTTTATTTCCTCAAGTGAAGTAATGTTCAGGAAGGTCACTCTGCTCAAATCTAAGAAGGCTTTCTTAGACTGGGCTGCTAAGTCTCTTTTGTGTTGCTGTAGTCTTTAATTTTTTAAATTTCGTTTCTATAAGATGTGACCTGAAACTTTGCAAGGTAAAGTGATGACTCTTTTCTATGTGATCCTGATGAAGTGACTTGTTTGTTTATAGATATTTGGAATTGTCTTTACACTTGTTCAAGGAAAACTCACAACAAACTACAGTCCTTGTGCAGGAAACCTCTTTCTTTGTGCTTGGATTTTTGTGGGCATTATCTTAACAGGTAATTAATCAGAAATGTAAGTAATGATTTCTCTTTAATGTAAAGATGTGGAGGTTTTTTTGAGATAGTGAATTTCTTGGTAGTTTTTAGATGTCTCAGACATCTAGGATTTAAATATCTGGCTTCCTGTCTGGACTGACAGAAGTTGTAAGTGCAGGGTTTGGTCGTCGTGTGTGTGTGTGTCCCACCCCCCGCTTTGTTTTTCACTTTACTTGCTGTGCGCACACCCTTTGTTTTAAGGATGATGTTGCTCATATATGGACAGCCATCTGTCACCTGTTTCTTGAGTCATGTCTTAAATTTGAGGCAGATGTCTATCTCCAGAGTAGGATAGTAAATGTAAACAAATACATAAATGGAGACAGTTTGCAGTTTTCCAAATGCAAGAAACTGCTGATGTATTCCTGAACTGTACCAGTGACTTAGACACGCTGGTACTTACAAATGTCCTGAAAGTTCTAAAACCATCAAGCTTTGCTTTAATTACTCATGGTTTAAAAGCTTTTATTGTCATTTTCTGCGTGTGCTGTGTGAGGAGCAAGTTCAAATTGCAAGAGAGTGAATACAGGTATTTTGCATATGTGCTGAAAGCAGCTTCCGTGTGCTTGGACTGTATAAACATTTCCCTAGAAATGCATGTCATTGCAAAGTTGTGAACGTGCTTTCTCTTTATTTTTTGTTTCAGCCTTAATAAAATCAGATTTGCGAAGACACAATGTGAATTCAGGGATTATGAATTTGGATGTTAAAGCTGTAAGTGGTGACTCTTTTTTTTACCGTGATTGTATTACTGTACTTGAATGGTTGGCTTCTATTGGCATAATATTAACAGCAAAAGAGTAATTGACAAAAATTTATAATATGACTGTTTCCATGCTATTTTGGAACAACAGAGCCACATGGGATGCTGCCCTCAGATACCTGTTTCTCCCCTTAGCTCCCGTGAAAAAACCTAAAAGACCACCTGCTTTCAGATTTTCCTGAATTTTAAGTTGCTAATATTAATCTCTGATTTTATTGCTTAAATCTTGCTTTTTTCATATTTGCAGGTAGCATTGTAAATTGTGAAGCCTTCTTGTGTATTGGGTTAGGAGGCTGTGCTATAGACTACGCGTTTTATTTAAAATACCTGCAGTTCCTTTAAGTGAAGTCAGTGTCTGATGAGCAGAAGTCATGCTGCAGTTTCTATACCGTGCTGCATGAAGAGCTGGCTCTGTTCTTCTGCTGAGCACCCTCTCAATTTAAATGAAGAGCGAGCATAGCACTTTCTGCTGTTCAGGAGGTCGCAAGACCATGTTTCAGCAGCTTTGCCAAATTATCACAGTTACTAGTAGAAATAAGGCTGTTACTGGAAACTTTTTTTTCAGTGCTGTGGGTTTTCTGATCATTTGGATCTAGATAATGAAACAGCTTTTTGGAGTCAGATATTGCAAGATCCTCTGTCACGCTTCTTTTTATGTGTAGGTGTCTTGCATGTATAGCAGCTTTTGATCATCTGCGATCAGGTGCAGACTGTTAGTGTCTGCATAAGGTTGAAAAAAAACTTCCAGGCCGGTGCTATGTGTGCTAACTTGAACCTGAAGCCTGTGCAGCTGTGTGCGCACAGTATGGCATCCTGTGGGTTTATCAGCCTGGGTCAGGGCTATCTCGGGGGTGTACATGCTGACTATAGGCAGTGATCCATGACTTGTCTGTTTTCCGTGATCACCTTGTTAATTAGCCTAGATTGTCACACAACTTCATTTATATTAGCCAGGATATAAAAAAAGCCTGGAGTCCTTGCTCCGATATTGCTATAAATAATTGAGAACTGCCTGTGTTAATAAGGTACAATAACACTTTGATACCAAACCTTGATCATCAAGATTCTACCGTGTTTAAATGTAATGGAGAAAAAACCTGAAAGTTAATCTCCATGTGATAAATATCTATGTGCAGTAAACATATACTTTAGAGTTATACTAAGAAACTCAGTTCTGCGGATGGTGGGTTTTTTTTTCATTACAGAGAGAAGGGAAAATAGGGCTTTCTATAAATGCCTAATGCCTAATTTGGCTAATTAACTACATATACTACTGGAGTCTAACCTAATAATTACCCAAGAATACTGAGGCTGGGAATAGCTTCTGCTGAATAACGGCTTATTTCCCGCTTTTTTT